ACCTGGGCGGAAGGACAGTTATTTTTTAAAAATAACTACACCAGTTAATCAGTTGCCACGTCATTCATTTACACATTCATTTACTCAACAAATATTTACTGGCCCTCTTCTATAAGCCAAGTATTGTGTTAAATTCTGGGTACAGGGCGGTGAACAGAACTTACATGGTTCTGTCCTCACCTACAAATATATAAGATACACTTGTAAGGAAACTCCAATCCACGAGAAAACACAACGGGGGACATAATTTACAACGAGAGGCATGGAAGAGCTCACAGAGGAAGTGACAATTTGAACGGAGGCCTGAAAGAGGAAAAGGATGCTGGCAGGTGAGTAAAGGAGTCGAGAGCCTTCTGGGCAGTGGGGTCAGCACGTGCAAAGGCTCTGAGGCCGCCAGGCTCATCGCCCTTTCTGAGCAGCTGAAAGGAGGCCAGGCAGCATGGCCAGCAGCTGGCTGGAGACGAGGCTGCAGCGGTAGGCAGGGCTTACCCGCCTGAAGGGTTCTGAGCAGGAAAGGCACAGCATCGGGTCACTCTGGCTGCTTTGGCAGAGTGGACTGGAGGGGGCAAGAACAGGGTTAGGACGAGTCAGAAGGCTGCTCGGGTGCTTCGGATCGGAAGTTGGCGGCTGCAGCAATGGAGAAGAGCTGACGGACTTGAGACACCATTTGGAGGTCTGAAGGGCAGAGTGATAGGACTTGTTGACTAGGAACGTGGGGAGCGAGGGACGGGGGTAGGTGCTCAGGTTTCTGGCATGAGCGCATGCAGGAGATTCTGTATTCCTAAAATAACTCATGAGATCCCTACTTTGTCTCTAAGTCATTATAACTTCCTATATGGGTCACTGCTCCTTTTTAGTTTCCCTACCTCCGGTCTGTGTTAACTTCAGATCACCCTATGTGGCATGGCCTTCCTAATTCAGCTCCAGTCACATGATTCCCCATTCAAGACTCTCCAGTGGTTCCTCTTCACCCACTGAGGTATGAATGCCTTAGCCTAAGCTTCCAAGGCTCCACAATTAAAAGTGATAGCCTACTTTCCTTCACTTCTGTACCTCGGTCCTGTTTTAGTGGAGCTGGACTACCTACTGTTCCTTGAATGTGTCACCACACATTCCTACCCCAGGGCCTTTGTTCACCTTCTTCCTTAAGTCTTACCATCTCAGTCACCTGAAACCTTGCTCAACTTTCAAAGTTCCTTACTTACGAAATGCCCCATCCTTAAATTTCATGATGCTCTGTGCCTCTCATACAGCACTTAGGTTTCTGCTTTTTATTGGGGCGATTAGTTTTATTATGATTTAACTCATGTGCATTCCCTACCCCCTCACAGGCCATAATGCCTTTGTGCGCAGCTCTGTTGCTCATATGCTCCCACTGCCCTGCCCTTAGAGGGTCAATAATATGATTGAGGCCAGCGTCGGGGCGCAGAGGATTAAGCCACCGCCTACGATTCCACATAAGTGCCAGTTTGAGTCCCAGCTGCTCCACTTCCTATCTGGCTCCCTGCTAACAGCTTTGGGAATGCAGCAGATGACAGCCCAAGGACTTGGGCTCCTGACACCCATGTGGGAGGCCGGAATCCCAGCTTCAGCCTGGCCCAGCCCTGGCCTTTGTGGTCCCTTGGGGATGAAGACCTCACTGTCTCCCTCTCTCTATATAACTCTGCCTTTCTTTTCTTCCTTCTTTTATTTTTAAAGATTTATTGGGACCAGCATTGTGGTATGCTGGGTAAAGCTGCTGCCTGCTATGGTTTGGGACATATATGGACACTGGTTCAAGTCCTGGCTGTTCCACTTCTGATCCAGCTCCCTGCTAATGTGCTTGGGAAAGCATCAGAGGATGACACAAGTGCTTGGTTCTCTGCACCCACATGGGAGACCTGGAAGAAGATTCTGGCTTCAGACTGGCCCAGTCCTGGTTGTGGCCATTTGGAGAGTGAATTTGAGGATGGAGGATTCTCTCTCTCTTTCTGTAATTGCCTTTTTTTAAAAAAATATTTATTTATTTATTTGAAAGGCAGAGTTACACAGAGCCAGAGGCAGACAGAGAGGTCTTCCTCCATCTGCTGGTTCACTCCCCAAATGGCCGCAAAAGCCAGAGCTGGGCCAATCCAAAGCCAGAAGCCAGGAGCTTCTTCCATGTCTCCCACACAGGTGCAGGGGCCCAAGCACTTGGACCATCTTTCACTGCCTTCCCAGGCCATAGTAGAGAGCTGGATCGGAAGTGGAGTAGCCTGGACTCGAACTGGTGCCCATTTAGGTTGCAGGCATTGCAACTGGCGGCTTTACCTGCTACGCCACAGCGCCAGCCCCTATAACACTTTCAAATAAATAAATAAATAGTTAAAAAATACAGTAATGAGGATGTGTAATTAAAAGTTACTTATACTTTACAATATGAATGATATAGCTAACTCTTCCCGGGGAGTATTTGTTTTTAGAGGGAGGTGCTTTCAACCCCAATGATCTAATCAGTAGAGAGCGACTCAGAAACCATATTAGCCTACAGAAATTCTTGGTGCCTCTAGCAACCAGAACTCCACTGCTGAAAGGCTGCTGCTTTCTAGGTTCCAACACCCAGGAGCAGCAAAACCTTTGTACGGGAGACACTGAGAGCCAAAATGCACTCCTTCCATGCATATGTCAGCTCATCAATTTACATGTACCCACGCCTGAAACACAATCTGCCAGCCACGTGAGGACACAACGGGAAGCCCCAAGTTGATCTCACAGTGAGAAATACTGAGCTACGGACAGCAAAAGTGTATACGAGGCCGGTGCTGCAGCTCAATAGGCTAATCCTCCGCCTAGCGGCGCCGACACACAGGGTTCTAGTCCCGGTTGGGGTGCCGGATTCTGTCCCGGTTGCCCCTCTTCCAGGCCAGCTCTCTGCTGTGGCCGGGAGTGCAGTGGAGGATGGCCCAAGTGCTTGGGCCCTGCACCCCATGGGAGACCAGGATAAGTACCTGGCTCCTGGCTTCAGATCAGCGCGGTGCGCGGGCCACAGCGCGCCAGCCGTGGCGGCCATTGGAGGGTGAACCAACGGCAAAAGGAAGACCTTTCTCTCTGTCTCTCTCACTGTCCACTCTGCCTGTCAAAAAAAAAAAAAAAAAAAAAAAAAGTGTATACGAAACGGGAAAAGAGGATACGGGAAACAGGGAAAACAGGCAAGGGGGCTCAGGAGTGTGGCAGGTGTAAGAGACTAGTGTTTACTACTTTGCTGATTGGTGGTAGTCTGGACAAAACCATTTCCTAGTCAGCCGAATGCGCCAGACAGTACACAGTAGCCCACAACAGCCCAGCAGGCGTGCACACAAAAGATAAAGATAAATTCCAAGTCCTACTTCCATTTAACAAGGTTGCTCCTGATAATTTGCTGCTGCTCCTGTCACAGTCTCAATTTATAGTTGAGAAATCAACCATGGGCTTCCTAACTATCAGATGTCAACTCTCTTAATCACCAACTACAATTCCAACAAATACCTGGGTCAGAAGCAAGAGCAGGAAGTTCAAAGTTAGTGTGGCACAAAGAACCCTCTAGTGGGGTGCTGACACATTTGGGTCATGCCTGGGTGACATTGAGCAAACTGCATAACTTAAGGTCCTTCCCACCTCTAACACCTTACAGTTTTAGAGAGCTAAAGAGAGCGGAAGATCATCCTTGTTTGATATGTAACAGACAAATAACAGCGACATTAGGCAAGCTTGTTTAAATATGAATTAATGCCTCTCCCATTATCTAGATGGGGTAACACCCTTTGGTGATATGATATGTCAAGGTCTCCACTGACTGCTGGAGAAATGCCAGACTTCCTTCTGGCATGGAAGGCTTTCCACATTTGCCCAACTTTATCTAACACTTCATACATTCAGATGTCCAACGCTCCGCTCCGGCCCTTCTGGTTTCCTTATCACCACTTTACCTCTTGCTTAATTCTTCGCCACCACCCACTCTCCTAGCCAAAGTTCTGTAACCTTCATGAAACCTTCCAAACTAAAGTTCTACAACCTTCTTACAGACTTCCCACTGCTCAAATTATTTCGTCTATCGGTCTCAGCTCTTCAGCTCTGCATTCCTACAGGACTAACTTACCTAGTGGTCGGCATTGTCTTCATTCACAGATAAGAAAATTGGGCCCAGGGAGGCTAAGCTATGAGAAGCAGCAGCTACACCGGATCTCATTCGCTTACCTTCAAAGCCCACACTTCTTTTCATTGTACCAAGCTGCTTCACATATTAAAAAACTATAAGGGGAGGATGTGGTTAAAAAAAGTCTATAAACCAGTTTTAAAACCGCTTGTTGTGACATAAACTCAGATACACCACATCCTTTGAACCATTCCGGTAATAAACGCTTGGAGTAGCATGGATAGTTTTTAAGGGGGTTGTTAGTCCTGTTTCCCAAGCCAAGCATTAAAAAGATAATTCAGAGTAAATGACAGGTGGGTGGCTACCGGGGGAGAGGGGTGGCAATATGGCATAAGAAAATACTAGAAACGGGACGGGAAAGAGATGAAAGTGTAATATAAAATCATCAGAATGTGCAAGTATGGACTATGAGGCTGGGGAAGGAGTGAAGTACCGAAGTTGAGGGGCCTACATCTAGCCTTGGTAAGACACGCGCTTGTGTCCGGGGTGTCAATACACTGGCAGGAGGACACATGGCCAGAGACAGGAACTCCGGGGGGCTGCCAGCAAGTGCAGGTCGTGGGGCCCAGGGTGGGGCACGGCACCCTGGGTGGCCGTGGGCGCCGTCCGAGGGGCCAGAGGGCGCGGCGGGGGGCGAAGGTGAAGCGGCTCGGAGGGCACGGCGCGCCCAGACCCCAGACAGGACTTCTGTCTGCCCCTCAACAGCTGGCTGGCGTGCTTCAGGGTTCACACCCGCACTCCCCAAAGCCCTCCTGGGGTGGCTCCGGCAAGACCCTGGGGTCCTGCCCCTTCGCCTCCTCTATTCCCCGGGACTCTGCGAGGGGGCAGGGGGAAGCCGGAGGGTCCTTACCCAGAAAGATGGAGATGATGAGCCGCAGCGCCTGTTCTGACGCGCCCAGGGACGTCGCCAACTTGTTAAGGCTCAGCTCCTCGAAACCCGACCGCAGCTCCCTCATCGGCTCCACCACCGTCCCCACGTCCCCCTCCGCTGCGGACGCCATCTTAACTGCGGGCGCCCCCCGGGGACCCCCAGCTCCGCGCGCCCCGAATGTGGGCAAGACGCTGTGGCTTCACCCCCAATTCCGGCCCGGGGCCCGCCCACGGCGTGCGCATTGGCTGCAGGTCCGCCCAGCGCCGCCAGACCCACCCGGTGATTGGTCGAGGCGTGCAGGGGGCGGGGCCTAGCGCGGTAAGGTAGGAAGAGGGCGGGCCCGAACGTTTGTAAGGCAAAGGTGACTCCTGGCGAGAGGGAACGCCGGCCGGCGAGGGCGGGGCGGGGCGTGGAGCCGCGACCCAGGGCGGCGATTGGAAAAGTCCGAGGCCCGCGGCGCGCTGACGGTGCCGCTCGGATCTAACTGCTCGGGGGAGGAGTCCGCGAGGGCAAGTGTCCGGCCGGCTCGCTCGCTGCCTTCCCATTGGCTGAGACGGGAGCAGGCGAGAGTCGGGGCGGGGAGGGGGCCGTCACCCGACCGCGAGGTTACTGTCGGTCGCCGGCGCGCTGGGGTTACTGGGGCATGTAACGGGGAGGCGGGAATTCCTGCTGCAGCCCCTCGAGCGCCCCCTAACGGCGCTTCCCGGCCGTTCTTCGGTTCCGGAGCCGTTAGGCGAGCCGCCGCCACTGCCCAAGGCTGTGCGGGGAGAGCCGGGTGCTCCGGCAGCACCTTCTTATTTTTTATCCCACGGATCCTTTCCCTCATGCAGTTTCCTGTAGTAAAACGTGACCTTCCTGTAGGAGGCGATGAAATCTAAACATGCCGAACGGGCACCTGTTAATTAAAAATTAAACTAGTGCTGTCACTGAGTTATACATATGCTATAGTGTTCCAACGGCGCTGACGCGTAAGGCAGAGCCCTTTCTTTGCACCTGCCTCCCATTCTCGCTTCCAACAGGTAATCCCTTGTTAAGGCTTAAAAAAAAAAAAAGTGTGTTGCACTTAGCATGTGTCAGGACCTGTGCTGGGTTTGTGAGCATCATCGTGAGCCCGAAGCCCAGGCGTGGGGATGACGCACAATTAATAGCATCAATGACCGTGTAATTGGCCGTGAAGGCGAGCACTCTGCAGGACAGGATCAAGGTTCCATGAGCGTCTGAGACAAAGGAACTCTTGTAATAACTGGAATTTGCAGGGCATTCTTGGACAATTACAGCTCGTGCTTTTTTAGCCCTTTGCACTTTTTACCTACTAGGGCACTTAATGTGTCTGTGCAGCAGGGTGTTTGTTATTACCGTGTCCTCTTAGAGAAACGGATGCTTGGAGAAGCTCAAGACCTTGCTCCGTTCATTTCCCAGCCTGCGGCAGAGAGAGAATTTAAACTTAGGTCTGTCGATTCTTCCCAGTCACCTTTTTACAGGGGAGGAAGTATGTCATTTGTTTAGAAAAGTATTTAGTGGGACCAGCAGTGTGGTGCAGCAGGTTAACACCCTGGCCTGAAGCACTGGCATCCCATATGGGCACCAGTTCAAGACCCAGCTGCTGCTCCACTTATGATCCAGCTCTCTGCTGTGGCCTGGGAAAGCAGTGCAAGATGGCCCAAGCGCTTGGGGCCCTGCACCCGCATGAGAAACTCCAAGGAAGCTCCTGGCTCTTGACTTCAGATTGGCCCAGCCCCAACCATTGTGGCCATTAAATGAATGAACCAGCGGATGGAGGACCTCTCTCTCTGTCTCTGCCTCTGTAACTCTACCTCTCAAGTAAATAAATAAATGTGGTTTTTTGTGTGTGTTTTTATTTTTAAAAAATTCTTCTGGAAAAGTGCCCTTGTTGAATGAGAGGAATGAGCAGAAGCAGTGTCACAGGAGAGAGGCCTCTGGTGAGGTGTTCACAGAGGGTTTTCTGCTAAAACTTTGGCTTTGACTTTATTGTCCCTCCAAAAAGTCACAAAGCAAAATGTCTTGGACATCTCCCCAGATTGTTGCCATGGCCTTTGCTCTTGCCCAGTCTGTTTTCACCTTGACTGGCCATTTCTACGTCTTGGTAGCCATTGCTTTGATCATGCTTTGTCTTCAGGATTGTACTGGTAAATCCTTGTTTCATCTCCTGTTATAACTTCTTCATTGAGACACCTTAGGATCTTGATCTCCCATGTTTAAGATTTCTACTGAAGCCCTGCTCTTGTCTGCAGCTGATCGGGGCCAACAAATTTGGTTTCCATCAAATGGAAGGTTTGCTCTGCTTTAGTTTGTCGGAATTGTGAATGCTGAGCCAGTTGAGATATCTGTCATGTTGGCTATTGTTTCTAATGGTAATATGCCTTTTCAAACAGGGCATGGAGAAAGTTAATTTTTTCCTCACAAGTTGATGTTCATGGTATGTCACTGTGGGCTTTATCTTCAACATTGTCTTTTATGCTGGTGTTGTGGGGGAGTTGGTTAAGCCACTGTTTGCAGTGCTAGTATCCCATAACAGACTGCTGGTTTGAATCCTGGATGCTCAACTTCCAATCCAGTTTCCTGCTGATGTACCTGGGAAAGCAATAGAAGATGGTCCAAGAGCTTGGGTCCTTGCTGTACACATAGAAACATGGATGGAGTTCCTGGCTCCTGCCATTGGCCTGACCCAGCCCTGGCTGTTGCTGCCATTTGGGGAGGGAACCAATGGATTCTCTCTCACTCTCTCTTTCTCTCTCTCATTTCTCTCTATCACTCTGCCTTTCAAGTAAATAAATAATTTTTTAAAATGTGAATTATTCCTTTGTAAACTGCCGATTTCTTTGGGACATCGTTCCCATAAAGTTTTTATAAAGTTATCAATGATTTCACCATTTTTCCACCCAAGTGTCATCATAAATTTATTCTTGCTTCAATTTTACTGGAGTTCATGTTAGAGGCTTTTTTTTTTTTTTCCAAGCTGATGTCTTATTTTTCTTAGTGCTTCAAACTAGATCATTTTCAATCATGGCATCAAAAATGTAGTACAAGTTTATCTTGGTGAAAATGTTTTTGAGATTCATGCATAGTTTTTTCATAATACCATTGTTCATGAAAATTTTGACAGCTGTAATTCACTCATTCTGTGATATAGCATTGTATTATATGATTACACCACATTTTTTCATGGTATTTCTGAAGAATACCTGGGTCATTTATTTATTTCCTTTTATAAATGTTACTGCAACAGACATTCTCATTTAAGCAACATTGAAAGGTTCTCTAGGGCTGTGATTTCCACACTAAAAAAAAAAAAAAGTTAACTGGGGCAAGTATTTGGTATGACTGTTGGAATACTGCTTGGTATGCCTGCATCCCATGTTGGAGTGCCTGGGTTCCGGTCCTGGTGATGCTCTGAATTCCAGCTTCCTGCTGGTGTGTACCCAGCAGGTGGTAGCTCTTGTGGATGGTTCCATGCCATCATGCACCTGAATGGAGTTGCCAGCTCCTGGCTTTGGCCTGGCCCAGCCCTGGCTGTTTCAGCCATTTGGAGAGTAAGCCAGCACCTGGGAGAACTCTGTCTGTCTCTAACTGTGTTTCTGACATTCAAATAAATAAATAAAGTTTAAACATGTTAACTGAATCTTCTATAAAAAATACATTGCTCTGTTGGACCTCATGGCGTATTGGGTTAAGCCATCTTTTGGGATGCCTGCGTCTCATCAGTGCCTGATTTGTGTTCTGGTTACTATACTTTCTATCCAGCTTCCTGCTAATGCATCCTGGGAGGGAGCAGATGATGGCTCAAGTGCTTGAGCCCCTGTCACTTGGGTGGAGTTTCAGACTCTTGGCTTTGGCATGGCCCAGCCCTGCTGGTGCGGGGGTGAGCAGGTGGATGGAAGATTCTCTCTCTCTCTCTCTCTCTCTCTGTCACTGTGCCTTTCAAGTAGGTGAAAATAAATAAAAATAAACTTTAAAAAAAAAGCACTGCTACTTGGAAGACACACATATTCATACACTATACAATAAATACACATACCACTCACATTCATGTATATTACACACTACCATACTATGTATGTGTTCTCTGAAAATTTATTTTCTCTCTTTTTTTTAAAGACTTTTTATTTTTTTATTTGAGAGATTGAGTTACAGACAGAGAGGGGGAGAGACAGAAAGGTCTTCCATCTGTTGGTTTATTCCCCAAGTGGTCGCAACGGCCAAAGCTGGGCCCATATGAAGCTAGGAACCAAAAGCTTCTTCTGGGTCTCTCACATAGTTTCAAAGACCCAAGCCCTTGGGCAATCCTGTGCTGCTTTCCCAGGCCATAGCAGAGAACTGGTTTGGAAAAGGAGCACCCAGGACACGGGCCAGTGCCCATATGAGATGCTGGTGCCACAGGCAGAGGCTTAACCTCCTATGCCCCAGTGCCAGATCCTTAATTTTTCCTCTAATTAAGTAAAAATGTTGGTCACTGGGACTCTCTAACTTGATCGCAATACTTAGTAGTAGTTCAGTAGTTCATGGTCCTGACTTTTTTTTTTTTTTTTTTAGATTTATTTTATTTATTTGAAAGGCAGGGTTACAGAGAGAAGTAGAGAAAAAGAAAAGTCTTCCATCTGCTGGTTCACTCCCCCAAATGGCCACAGCAGCTGGAACTGCGCTGATCCAAAGCCAGGAACCAGGAGCTTCCTCTGGGTCTCCCACATGGGTGCAGGGGCCCAAGGACTTGGGACATCCTCTGCTGCTTTCCAGGCAGGGAGCTGTGTCAGACATGGAGCAATGCCACCTATGTTCTTTGCAAGCCAACTCCCTCGCAGGCCAGCTAGATAATGAAAGTCAGTAGGGTGCCTCCCTTAAGATGTACCCCATGTAGAGAGATAGGTCTGAGCCTCATAACTGGCAAGGCCTTAAAGCCCGCTTGATTATTTTCAAGCCCTTTCTGGTAGTTTCTATTTGCCTCTCAATGAAAAAACTTGCTAATGAGTTAGACACCTTTCTTAGGACTTCTAGTAATGACTCTGTCCTCGGTTTTAGATTCTGTATGTTGGATTTGTTTTCTCCAGACTTAAAAAAGTAAAATTCTAAGTGGCCATGTATGAAACCTCCAGTGGAAGCCATTTCTGCAGCTGGCACTGCATCCCCCTGGAGAAGCCACCTCCTGCTGCAACCCTGTCTTGACTCCGCTTCCTGAAGACGCCCATTTTCCCTTCCTTCCTTCCTTCCTTCCTTCCTTCCTTCCTCTCTCTCTCTCTCTCTCTTTCTTGTTTAAAGATTTATTTATTTGTTTATTTGAAAGTCAGAATTACGCAGAGAGAAGGAGAGGCAGAAAGAGAGAGAGAGAGAGAGAGGTCTTCCATCTGCTGGTTCACTCCTTGCTTGGCCACAATGGCTGAAGCTGTGCCGATCTGAAGCCAGGAGCCAGGAGCTTCCTCCGTGTCTCCCACACGGGTGCAGGGACCTAAGGACTTGGGCCATCTTCCACAGCTTTCCCAGGCCATAGCAGAGAGGATCAGAAGTGGAGCAGCCGGGTCGAACCAGCACCCATATGGGATATCTGCACTGCAGGCAGCAGTTTTACCTGCTCTGCCACAGTGCTGGCCCCACAATGTCCATTTTCAGCATGAAGCAGCCAGAGCGATCATTGTCCAGTCCCCCCTAACAGATGTTAGGGTCCAATCGTGTTGAGGGAGGAGGTGAGCAGTGGGAAGGGTTAGTAGGTATTCAGGGGATCCCAGTGGAATTTGGGGTGTAAAATATTTGCTTCCTTCCCCAAAAAGGTTATCTTTAGCAAGAACAAAATGTCTGCCCTCCTACCTTAGGAATCTCCATATTTACCATGAGAATAGCAAGGGAGGAGTGATTTCATTTTCCTAAACTCACAGTGTATTATTGAAAACAAGTTACCCATCCCACCCTTCTGGATGATTTTTTGTTTTATCTTGAGCAAGCCAGATAGGATAAAAGATTGTAAACCAGGTCTTTTGATGGGTTTTGTCCCTGCCTTGTAGCTGAAGGTCAATCTGATTGTTAAGTTTTTTTTTTCCTCTTCAAAATTGTACTTAAAAGCCCCAGTGCTTCAAGGTTCTTTGAGTTCTTTCCTCTCTTGGAAGACCCCTCCATGCTGGAGGCTTGGCTGGAGGTCTTTGACTCTAATACATCTTTTTAAATTAAAAAAAGAAATGGAGCAGCCGGGACCTGAACCAGTGTACATAGGGGATGCTGACACTGCAGCCGGGGGCTCTAACCTGCTGTGTGACAGCACCAACCCCACCTTTGGGATTTGTAACCAGAAGGAGAATTATAGGTTGTGCCTCCCTTCTACTTTACTAGGTTTTACTTAATTGGAGTGTTTGACTAGAAGTTAAGAGTCCTAAATTCTCTGATTTGCTGAGATAAGTAAAGTATTTGTTAAACCATCCAGTCAATGAGGCTTGGAGAAAGTTTCATTTGTGTTTTTTCAGTTGATGACTTGTTTGCCCCTTCTTATACCTTTAGGGTTCTGAGGCAGAGGCTGTGCTGTGTTGGTACAGCAGGTGCCTGTTTGCCTGTTATGCGCAGGTGCGTGGGCAGCCGCACCCACTGCGTCTTTCCTACCATTGCAATGCAGCAGCCCTGTCTCCGATTGCACTTGCTCACTAGTGAGCTGGAGAAGAGCAGATGAAGATTATATGACTTCCTAGTTTATAATTCAACATATTCCTGGAGGCTTTCTAAGTCCAGTTCTGTGCTGGACTCTCAGAATATAAAGACGAAGAAGAAGCAGCTCCTGGCCTCAGGAAGAAATTCTGTGTTGAGTGGGAAGAGAGACATGAAGACATGATTCTGAAACAAAGTGGGAGTCCTTGTGCAGGAAGAGCAGAACGTGTCGGTGGGACCCCGCTCCTCCACTGCTGCCCTTCCTGTTTCAGCCATCTCAGCATCTCTGCCCGTTCCTCCTTTCCCCGTCGTGGGTCCATTTGTGCTGCTCTAACGATAGCCAAGCCTGGGTAACTTATGAACAGCAGAAATGTATTTCTCATGAGGTTGGAGGCTGCAAGTCCAAGATCCAGGTGCTGGCAGGTCTGGTGTCTTGTGAGGGTCTGGCCTCTGCTTCTGGATTCCAGTGCTATGGGCACTGCTTCCTCTGGGAGGGACTCACACCACAGCAGAGGGATGGGAGGAGGAAGAACCCACTCCTTTAGGCCCTTTTATAAGAGCCCTAATCCCATCCATGAGAGCTGCACTCTCCAGACTTAATTACTTCCCCAAATGCCTACCTTAATACTTTCACTTATTTATTTAATTGAGAGGCAGTTACACAAAAAAAGGAGACAGAGAGAGATCTTCCATCTGATGGTTCACTCCCCAAATGGCTGCAATGGGCCGATTTGAAGCCCGGAACCGGGAACTTCTTCTGGATCTCCCACATGGATGCAGGGGCCCAAAGACTTGGGCCATCTTCTGCTGCCTTAATAGGCACCTAAGCAGGGAGCTGGATCGAAAGAGGAGCAGTCGGGACGTGAACCGGCACCCATATCGGACGATGGCACTGCAGGTGGAGGCTTTAGCCCATTACGCCACAGCACTGGCCCAGTTCCTTGCTTCTTACAAGTGGTTGATTAGGAGTACCCGGTAGAGATATTTTGCATATCTTTGCTGCCAGATGACACCATGAATGATCATCACTCTATTATAGGAAAGAGTTATCAGCATCTTTAATCAGATTAGAGAGCCAAGTCCAAAAAAACTCAGAACCACTCAGAAAATTCACCCTTAAAATTTTGTTCTTTTGGAAACACTCTTTTTTCAATATTTATTTTATTTTTTAAAAAATTTATTTATTTATTTATTTGAGCGGCAAAGTTACAGATAGAGAGAAGGAGAGACAGAGAGAGGTCTTCCATCCCCTGGTTCACTTGCTAAATGGCTGCAATGGCTAGAGCTGGGCTGATCTGAAGCCAGGAACCAGGAGCTTCTTCCAGGTTTCCCACATGGGAGACCAAAGACTTGGGCCATCTTCTGCTGCTTTCCCAGGCATATTAGAGGAGCTGGATTGGAGTGGAGCAGCCGGGACTTGAACCAGTTCCCATGTGGGATGCTGGCGCTGCAGGCAGAAGCTTAATCTTCTGTGCCACAGAGCTGGCCTTTGGAAACACTCTTGGTACCCCAAATCTGTACTAGTCTGGGTTCTCCTCTCTCCAATAGGAGATATGAGTGTGGATATGTAGAAATAAACAAAGATTTGGCTCACCCGATGATGGAAATATGGAGGCTAAGAAGTCGCAAGATCTGCAGTCAGCCAGAAAGCTATAGAATCAGGAGAGCTGATGGTGTAAGTTCTAGTCCAAGTCCAAGTCCGAAGGCAGCAGAAAATCAAGGTCCCAGTGTCCATTTTTCCTTGTAGGGTCTTCAGTAAAAGCTTGTTTCATAACAATGTGGTAGGAATTGATAAAATAAAAATTCTGAGATGTCCTAAGTTTAATGGCAAGGGGTGGGGGGAGAGATAAGGGAAGTTAATCAGTTAACAGCCGAGAGCAAAACCAACAGAAAGACTGTTTCTACTGAAACATGACTTAAATCCGATCACTGCCAGCTACTGTCCTGTTTACAGGTAAACTTTCTGGTCTGTTGGTCCCAACCAATCCAGAAGCAGCAATTACTTCTCCCTACAGCCCCTCCTCCTAACCCAAAGCTCCCCAACACTCCATCTGTAGGCAATGGAGGTAAAAACAGTGCTTTCCCTCCCCAGGGTTTATATAGAACACTTTCAGCTCTGGTCCTCGGGACAGGGACATTTTCCAACTGCTGCTAGCTGTAGGAATTGGCCAGGACTTGGTCCTTTCTTTTCCTAGCTGGCATCTGTAATGACTCCATATGCCTTTCACTTCAGAGTTTCCTTGTGTTACCAGAGGAGCAAAGGGTCCTTGTCTTCGTGCAAGAAAGAATTCAGGCGTGAGACAGAGAGCAGTGGAAAGCAAAACAGCACGGTGTATTAGGGTAGGGACATCTGTAAGACCGGATGGGCATCTCTCCAGACAGGACCTGAGAGAGAGTGCGCAGTGCACATTTAAGCTGGTTTTTTTTTTTTTTTTTTTTTTTTTTTTAACAGGCAGAGTGGACAGTGAGAGAGAGAGAGAGACAGAGAGAAAGGTTTTCCCTTGCCGTTGGTTCACCCTCCAATGGCCGCCGCGGCCGGCGCACCGCGCTGATCCGATGGCAGGAGCCAGGAGCCAGGTGCTTCTCCTGGTCTCCCATGGGGTGCAGGGCCCAAGCACTTGGGCCATCCTCCACTGCACTCCCTGGCCACAGCAGAGAGCTGGCCTGGAAGAGGGGCAACTGGGACAGAACCCGGCGCCCCGACCGGGACTAGAACCCAGTGTGCCGGCGCCGCAAGGCGGAGGATTAGCCTAGTGAGCCGTGGCGCTGGCCCAGGCTGGGGTTTTTAAGGGAATGGGTCTTGCCTTCCTTCCTGCTCTCCTCCAGCTGAACAAAGGACTTGTTGGATGTAAATACGAAAAATTCTTTTCTGAGTTTTTCCCCCAAGGTTATCAGACAGGGGAAGCCTGGCTAGTGTCACCCTGCCTTAGAGGAAGGATGTTTATCAGGTAGAAGGGGCAGGAGCCCCTGGAAGGTCATCAGGATCCGGGCAGGATGTTTGAAGTGCAGATACTGGGCTGCCCCTGGAAGGTTATCAGGATGATTTTGAGATGCAGATACTGGACCTAGATGTCAATTCCTTGCGCCTTTGTCACACACACATGAGCTCATTTCTGACTTCCTACCTAACTCTTGGTCTCAAGATTTCTGGTTTAGTAGAGAACTCTTTCTTTAAAGTTTTATTTTTATTTAATTTAAAGGGCACACAGAGAAAAGATCTTCCATCTGCTGGTTCACTCTCCAAATGCCCACAACAGTCAGGGTTGGGCCAGGCTGAAGTCAGAAGCCCAGAACTAAATCCAGGTCTCCTACGTGGATTTCTCCTTCCTGGGATGGGTGTGTGGAGCTGCAGCTGGGGTGCCAGGTGGGACACCCACATCCCGTATCTCCATGCCAGGTTTGGGCCCTGGCTTCTCTGCTTCCAATTAAGCTTCCTGCTAATCCACACCCCGGGAGACAGCAGATGACAGCTCGAGTACTTGGGTCCTGCCAAGACATTTTGAATGAGTTCTGGGCTCCTGGCTTTGGCCAGCTGTTGGGGATATTTGGGAAGTGAACCAGTAGATGGAAGATCTCTCTGCCTTGGCCTCTCTACCTTTCATATAAGTGAAAATTAAAAAAGAGAAAAAAAAAAAAAAACTAGGAAGTTAGGCGAGGAGCCCAAGTTCCCATCACTGGTGAGAAGAAGAGATAAGCTGTGTTTCAACTCCAGGTCCAGCACAGAGCCAGCTGGGGAAGACATGTGCACAAATACCAAGCTTCTTCATTTCTTTTTTTAAAAAATATTTATTTTATTTATTTGAAAGACAGAGTTACAGAGAGGGGTAGAGACACACAGAGAGAGGTCTTCCATCCGTTGGTTCACTCCCCAGATGGCCGCAATGGCCAGAGCTGCACGGATCCCAAGCCAGGAGCCAGGAGCTTCTTCCCAGTCTCCCACTTGGGCCTTCTTCTACTGCTATCCCAGGCCACGGCAGAGAGCTGGATTGGAAGAGGGGCAGCCGGGACTAGAACCGGCACCCACGTGGGATGCTGGCGTTTCAGACCAGGGCTTTAACCTGCTGCACCACAGCGCCGGCCGCAAGCTTTTCCATTTCTAAGGCACAGTGTCCTCCACCTTCTACTGATCTTGAAGTCGAGATGCACCTTAGAATCAGTGGTATATGATAGCTTCATCAGCAGCTTTGAAAATGTTTTGTGGTACAGCAGGAGATTCAGCTGCTTGCGATGCCAGCATTCCATAGCAAAGCTCTGGTTCAAGTCCTGGCTGTCCCACTTCGGATCTAGCTCCCTGGTAATGAGCCTGGGAAGGCAATGGAAGATGGCTCAAGCGCTTGAGCCCCTGCCACCCGCATGGGAGACCTGCATGGAGTACCTGGATCCTGGCTTTGGCCTGGCCCTGCCCTGGTTGTTGTGGCCATTTGGGGAGTGAATCAATGGATGGAAGATCTCTGTCTCTCTGCTGTCCACCCTTCCCATTGCTCTACTTTTCAAATACATAAATAAATTTTAAATGTTTTTGTTAATTTATTTCCATTTTTATTTGAAAGGTAGAGACAGAGAGAGAGAGAGAGAGAGAGAGAGAGAGATCTTTCACTGCTGGTTACACTCTCCTGGAGCCTCCCACAGCTGGAGCTGGCCAAGGCTGAAGCCAGGATCCAGGAATTCCGTTTGGGTCTCACATGTGGGCAGCGCAGACCCAAGTCCTTGAGCACCACCGCTGCCTCCCAGGGTGTGCATTAACAGGAAGCGGGAATCACAAGCAGAGCTGGAACTCTAACCCGGGTGTTCTGAAATGGGACGCAGCTGTCCCCAGCATGGTCTTAACCAATGTGCCAAACACTCACCACAATAGCTTTTTTTTTTTTTAATTAAAAGCCCTGTTTTCATTTTAAAGATCTATTTATTTATTTGAAAGGCAGAGTTACAGCGAGAGAGAGAGAAGGGTCTTCCTTCCATCTGCTGGTTCACTCCCCAAATGGCTACCACAGCTAGAGCTGTGCCTATCTGAAGCCAGGAGCCAGGAGCTTCTTCCAGGTCTCGCACAGGGGTGCAGGTGCCCAAGGACCTGGGCCATCTTCCACTGCTTTCCCAGGCCATCTCAGAGAGCTGGATTGGAAGTGGAGCAGCTGGGACTCAAACCGGCGCCCATATGGGATGCTGGCAGTGAAGGCAGCAGCTTTACTTGCTACGCCACAGCGCCAGCCCCCCAGTAGCTCTTTAATTCTTAGTGGTAGATAAAATAGTGGAGCCCCTTCAACTGATGAGTGTTAGACTCACTGGAATGTGTTCACTCAGACGTGGTGGAGAGCTGTGGAGACATAAAGGAGACATAAAGGAGAGCTGTGAGACAGGGCAGGCTTTGCAGAGGAGGGCTTGTGCAGGCACGGTCCCTCAGCTGCAGTTCCAAACTCCAAAAGGCTCTGAAAACAGTGTTCCCCCACCAAGTGTGGCACCAAAACTCACTGGCAGCAAGACCTGCCCTGAGCTGATATGAAGTTATTTATAATCTTTAGTTATTTTACTTACCATGAAGAGCATCATGTTTAGCCGCAGAAATATTAATATTGGATAATAGACTTGTTATCCCAATCTCTGGGGGAAGAGAAGAGGGGAGTAGTGTGACCTAATATTAAGTCCATGTGCTGCACTGCATTATGAAATTATTGATTTTTGTTTATTTGAAAGGCAGAGAAGTAGACATATACATGGACACACAGAGACAGACGGACAGAGATCTTCCATCCACTGTTTGATTTGTCAAATGCCTGCAACACAGGAGCTGGGCCAGGCCAAAGCCAGGATCCTGGAACTCAGTCTGGGTCTCCCACCTGGGTGGCAGGGACCAATTGCCTCCCAAGGTGTGCGTTAGCAGGAAGCTGGAATGAAAGTGGAGCCAGGACTTGAACCCGGGCCTTCTAACATGGGTTGTAGGTGTCCTAAAAGGCATCCTCACTGCTGTGCCAAATGCCCACCTTGACTTTTGAATTTTTTAAAATCTGTAAAAAACTTTTTCTTCTCCCTCCCTCCCTCCTTCCCTCCCTCCCTTCCTCCCTTCCTCCCTCCTCTTCCTCCTCTTCCTCTTCAAAGATTTATTTTATTTATTTGAAAGGCACACTTACAGGGGGAGAGAGAGAGAGAAAGAGAGAAAGGGGGGATTTTCTATCACTGGTTCACTCCCCACATGGCTTCAATGGCCGGGGCTTTACCAGGAGGAAGCCAGAGTTCTTCTGGGTCTCCCACAGCAGTTGGGCCATCCTCCACTGCTTTCCCAGGTGCATTAGCAGGGAGCCGGGACTCGAACCAGTGCTCACAAGGGATGCCAGCATTGCAGGCATTGGCCTAACCCATGATGCCACAGCGCCAGCCCCAATCTGAAAACATATCTGTCCTCAAGGGCTGTGCTTAAGGGGCTCTGGGTTGCATCTAAACTGCAGCTTCGTTAGTGAATAGAATCGAGATGTCTGGAGAGTGGAAAGGATTTTAGCAAGAGGAAAAGGCATCACCCACACCATGGTGGGTCTAGGTTTATGTCACTATTCGGCCGTTAAATTCGCGTTAAACGCGGAGCAGACCTGCATTCCGATAGCCACTCTCCCTTAATTCGTGACTCTGACTTTCGCACAGCTGGAGGGTGGGACTTTCTGGGTTTGGCTTCTCTCCCTTAACGTCAAGCGCCTCCTTTTCCTACAAATCATCTGACTTACCCGAAAACACTGCAACCCACCCTTTGGCTGGAAACAAGTGTTAGGCAATCGGTGAAATCCCCGTTCCTCCTCTCTTGCAGCCGCCCGGCCGGCAGCAATCTCCACCAGGGGCGGAGGACGGAGTTCTTGTTTCAAAAGCAGAGGGAGCTCCAGGATCAAAGCTGAGTTACCCTTTTTCTCTGTTGTGGTCTCCCAGCCCCCTCTTTGTTTGGATCAGGGAATTCTGGACATGCACACAGGGGCAGGGAATCTCAAGAGCCCCAGGACAGAGAGGTGGCCCGGAAGTGCCTGCAGAGGGAGCGGGAAGGCCCTGCGCTGCGGTCCGGGGAGCCCCGGTCACTCAGCATGCCCACTGCTGGAGAGGGACTGACTCACTTGCTCCCATCAGCTTCTGAAGGTAAAAATCCTTGAAAATGAAGAAGTGTTTGGACAGAGCTAGGAGAAAAGGCAGAAGAAATCTCACATGAGAAGGTTTGGGGCAAAGATGGAGGGCTGGGAAGAGAATGAAAAAAGGCAGGACTGGGGGTCCCCTCACTTCATACCACTATGCACCCCTGTTCTGAGGACTAGAAACAATTTTGAGAGTCTTCCCTAGGGACCCTGGGAAGCTATCATGCCTTTTTTTAGAAAGGAAAACAAACACACAAATCCCAGAGAGTGAATGTAGGAAATTCTCTTCCCTGCTTTTTATGGCCCTTGTAATCCCAATGTCCCTTCTCTCCTTGCCCGTGCGACCCCGTCTCACGCTGGGTAGCACTCCCTCTCTCAGACCACTTCTCCCAGGGTCCTTCTCCCAGTGGTCCCGGGGAATATCAGCAGAGGGACTTGCAGGTGTGAGAGCGGAAGTGCTAAGGGGTGATGGTTAGAGAGGAGGGAGAACTGTCCGAGGTGGGTGGTCACGGTGAGCAAAGACTTCTAAAATCCCAGGTGGAAGTGGGGATTATTGTTCTGTGAGTTAGGGAGAGACAGACAGAGGGACGGGGAGGGTAGCAGAGGACAGAAGGGAAAAGCCTGGGCGGACGTACTCATTCCTTTGGGGGAAGAAGGAGACTTAGTTCTAGTTTAGAAAATTGGCTGGAGTCAGCCTGGGGAGGGAGTGAGAGCCCGAGGCCTGTGGCGGTGACTCCTGATACAGCTCTCTGAACCTGTGTCATTCTCAGGAAGGTGCCACTGAGGCGGAGGTGACTTCCTGCCCCTGGAGCAGACACCTGAGTTTGTCAGACGAAGACGACCAGGCCTGCCACCCCTTTCTCTCCAGGGTCCAGCGGTGCAGAGAGCCGGGAACAAGAGACACGCAGCCCGTCAGGATGGGCCAGTCTCCAGAGATGTGGTCAGTGACCAGGGGTCTGCAGAGACACCCCTGGACTGTCTCCCCCCCTTGCCCTGGCTTCTCAATAGAGAGTTCACCACTGAAGCCTGGGGTTTGGTGTGACCCAGGCCCTTTCTTTATTCCAACCTAAGGTTCTCTCCCACACTGGCTGGCTGTCTTTCCCCTTGCTTCTCCCTGTGACAAGTGCTCAAGTTCTGCATGAGGCTGCTGGTACCTGGGTCACCCACCTCCTGATGCCTTTTCTTCCAGGTGTATGGTCCTGTTTTCCATTTTGGTGTGGGTTTATGCTGAGCCTACCATGTATGGGGAGATCCTGTCCCCTAACTATCCTCAGGCATACCCCAATGAGATAGAGAAATCTTGGGATATAGAAGTCCCCGAAGGGTACGGGATTCACCTCTACTTCACCCATCTGGACATAGAGCTTTCAGAGGACTGCGCCTATGACTCAGTGCAGGTATATCACAAGCATACGGAGAAGAGAGGTGGAGACCCAGGGCTGGGGTGGTGGAATAAGAAGGCCGTAGGAGGGAGTGCCACAGACATGCGCTGAACTGGAGTCCAATAGTGCTATGGGGGTCGATGTTCTATCCTCTCTGTCCCTCTTCCTCTCGCCCTCTTCCCCCAGATACCACCCTCTCCTAGTTTCTGTTTGACTCTTATCTTAGATAATGTCCGGAGACATTGAGGAGGGGAAGCTCTGTGGACAGAAGACTAGCAAGAACCCCAGCTCCCCGATTGTGGAGGAGTTCAAAGTCCCGTACAATAAACTCCAAGTGATCTTTAGGTCAGACTTCTCCAATGAAGAACGTTTTACTGGATTTGCTGCCTACTATGCTGCCATAGGTAAGGCACCCTCCTGTGTATGTTTTACTGAGCCGGCCAAAAGATTGAAACACCGAGCAATGCATACAGTGACAATACTGCTTATAACTTTTACAAGGTGTTGACTTGGCCTGGATATTTTTTTAAAAGATTTGTTTATTTATTTGAAAGGCAGAGTTACAGAGAGGCAGAGGCAGAGAGAGAAAGAGAGAGAGAGAGAGAGAAAGTCTTCCATCCGCTGGTTCACTCCCCAAATGGCCACAATGGCTGGAGCTGGGCCTATCCAAAGCCAGGAGCCAGGAGCTTCTTCCAGGTCTTCCACATGGGTGCAGGGGCCCAAGGACTTGGGTCATCTTCTACTGCTTTCCCAGGCCACAGCAGAGAGCTGGATCAGAAGTGGAGTAGCTGGGACTCAAACTGGTGCCCATATGGGATCCCAGTACTGCAGGCGGCAGCTTTACATGCTACGCCACAGTGCCGGTCCCCCTTGGCCTGCATCTTTGCATGAATTGCCTTTGTGAAATTCAAACACATGATTGTATCTTAGTGGCAATGAGGATAATAGTAGCAATAGATAATAGTGGTTTATTGAGAACTGGACATTGATTTAGGAATTTCATCTGTTAAGATAATTGTCATCACAACCCTTCAAGGTGGGTATTATTATCTCCATATAAAAATAAGGAAAGTGAGGACTAAGAAAGTTAATAACTTGCCAAAGAATCACACGACAATGCATGATTTTAAAACTCATTCAGACCTTCCAATTCTGGGCACTTTTAAATCCATCTCCACATTAAAATCAAGTTGGAACATCTCATAAATCCAAATTGTTGCTTAGATTTGATGAACGTCCCAACAGCATTTAAAGTGAGGTGTGAACTCACTATTCGTCACTGCAGAAGATGTCATTGTCACGTTTAGCCGGCAGTGTTGTCTCGGAGAAAAGCCAAAGATTTCTGGCCTTGGGAGCTCCCTTTCGGCCGCTCAAGGGTAGGGAGCAGTTCTAAGATTACGGTTCAGGAGAGGAACGTGGAATAATATTATCCCCAAAATGTGATTCCTTGAGAGGCCTTAAACAACAAGCTTTTCCTACTTTGTATACCCTGGTAGTTTTAGGTTTAACTTCATTCTTCTTTTCAGGTCTTTGAACTTGACCTCAATCCCTCTCTACCCTTTATAGACATAGATGAGTGCACGGAGTTTGCAGATGTTCCTTGTAGCCACTTTTGCAACAACTTCATTGGCGGCTACTTCTGCTCCTGCCCCCCAGAATACTTTCTCCACGATGATATGAGGAATTGCGGAGGTGAGCAAAGCATCAAGACAGGTCCCTGTTCCCTGAGATTTGGAATGGAGGAGGCCTCAGAAAAGGCGTTGTCCTCCTTCCAATTTCTGGATTAGGCCCAATCTTCATTATTTGTTAGCTATTCTTTTTTTTTAATAAAAATTAATTTAGCTTCACTTTATTTGAAAGGCAGAGAGACAAGAGGAAGAGATAGAGATAGAGATACAGATAGATAGATAGATAGATAGAGATCTTCTATCTGCTGGTTCACTCCCCCAATGCCTACCAGGGCTGGACGAGGCTGAAATCAGGAGCCCAGAACTCAGTCTGGGCTGCTCACATGGGTGGCAAGGACACAAGTACTTGCCCGTCATCATCTGTTGCCTCCCATGGTGCACTTTAGCAGGAAGCTGGATCAGAAGCAGAGGGGAAGACTTGAACCCAGGAATTCTGATAGGGGATGCAGCGTCCCAAGCAATGTTTCAATCACTGCACCAAACCCCTGCCCCTGGTGTCTGTTCTTAATTGTTCATAAACTGAGGGGGGAGCCACAAGAGGGGAAGAAGAGAGGTTTCAGGGTCAAGTTAGCTATTTGGAGAGGAGAGATCCATGCCTGTGGAGAGTCTGCCTGGGGTGGTTCGTATCCCCAGAAACTCCATTGTCAGCCAAGCATCCAATCGGCATTGGTCTCGACCCGCTGTGGCACGTGGACTCCGAGATCCGGGATCCTCTGACCGGAGGACTGGCAGTTATGAGAGGACTCAGAATAGGGCGGGGACTCCTTTGACCCCATATATTTGATTCTTTTTTTTTTCCCTCAGTCAATTGCAGTGGAGATGTGTTCACCACGCTGATTGGGGAGATCACAAGTCCCAATTATCCCAGGCCATACCCAGAGAACTCAAGGTGTGAATACCAGATCCTGCTGGAGGAGGGGTTCCAGGTGGTGGTGACCGTGCGGAGAGAAGACTTTGACGTGGAGCCAGCTGACGCAGACGGGGCCTGCCAGGACAGTTTAGTTGTGCGTGATGGGTGACTCCTCCGCCTCTCCCCCAACTCACAGAGATTTCTTCCCGAAGAGAAAACTGTCTTTCCTCCTACCCCTTCTTGTTCCCTTCCTTCTTGTTGTATGCTACAGTTATGACCTCCTTCACTTCTCTCTGTTCCATCTCTTCAGTTCTGTCTCTCTTCTGCTCTCATCATTTTGTTTCCTTTCAGTTTGTTGGAAAAAATCAGCAGTTTGGTCCTTACTGTGGCAATGGATTCCCTGGGCCACTGAATATTGAAACCAAGAGTAATACTCTTGATATCATCTTTCAAACTGACCTAACAGAGCAACGCAAGGGCTGGAAACTCCGTTACCATGGAGACCGTGAGTAGCCTGCAAATGCCTCCTCCGTTGGTGACACCTGAGTCCTTAGACAATGCAGAATGAAAACAGGGAGACTGTTGTGTGGGTGGAGTCCTGAGCTACTTCACTTGCTCAGGAAGGCCTAAGCCCATCAATGGCTGCTAGAAGTGGACCCCTGAATGCAGACAGCTCGGGGGTGGTTAGTAACGCTGTCTTATTTTAGAAGCCCACCATGTTGGAGTGCGAGCCACCAGGAATAAGGCTGACCAAATGATTTTAGGAAGTGTGAGAATGATGTAGATGGAATTGCATCTCCAATTACTATAAAAGTTTTTTTTTTCTGTTCTTTCTAAGCAATCCCCTGTCCTAAAGAAGTCACTGAGAACTCTTTTTGGGAGCCCAAGAAGGCAAAATATGTGTTTAAAGATGTGGTGAAGATTACCTGTGTGGAGGGGTATGAAGTTGTGGAGGTAAAGTGCTGTTTGGCCTTCGCCATAGCCCTGTCCCAGGTTGGGATGAGCATAGTGAGACTGTCCAGTCACCCTTGTGTGACACCCGACCCTGTGTGATACCCGACACCCTGAGTGACTAAGATGTGAAGCCTTGTGTGGTTGCCATAGACAGAACAGCTCACTTCCTTGTAGGGTATAGAGCTTCTTGGCCAACTTAGCATTGCCTCTCTGCCTCCAGTCTTCCTGGGGCAGGGGACCTGATTTGCTGGACAACCTCACTGACCCAACACCAAAGATCAATTCCATTTTTTGTCTTGGCTTTCCAAATATCTCTTTGTGAATTAATGGTGATGTCTGTTACTTCCCAGGACAATGTTGGCTCAACATCTTTCTATTCTGTTTGTCAAAGCAATGGAAAGTGGAGTAATTCCAAACTGAGATGTCAGCGTACGTGTCTCATCAACGTGGAACTCTTTATATCTGCCTAAAGGAATTGAAAGATCAGCACATCAAAGTTCCAATGCATGGTTTTTCTATTATGCTTGTCAGAGAGTGGGTTGGACTTTTGAAGGGAAGCTACTCATGGGGGCTTTTCCTAGTCCTGATCCTGATCTGGTCTCAGGCCATCTAAACTATCAGATTTCTGACCAAAGAAAGGGGCAGTGGGACTGGTAGAGATGACAGCCCCAGGAGGGTGCATTCTTGGTTTCTACAGGGACCTTCACCAACCACAGAGAACCAGGTTCCTCCTTTTAGGTTTCAAGGGGCTGTCTTGGTTGACAGGTCTCAGTGTGCCAGGGATTTGAGTAATGCCAATTGGAAAGGATGGCTGCAGGGAGATGGGTGTGGGAAGATTCATTCCAAGTGTTCCTATGGACATGAGGGAGGGAAGCAGTGAGGACAGTGACTCTTCCCAGGAGAAGCAGCTGTCCTGACCATCAGTCCCCTGACTTTCTCTTGTAGCTGTGGACTGTGGTGCTCCTGAACCCATTAAGAATGGCAAAGCCGAAGACCCAGAAAGTACTTTATTTGGTTCTGTCACCCACTACACTTGTGAGGAGCCATATTACTACATGGAAAATGAAGGCGGTGGTAGGTGACTTCTCCAAGAGAAGAGAAGGAGTTGGAGGATGACTAGTACAGTCTTCCTGGGTTGGAGAGATTCTGGAGGGAAGAGAGAGAAGTGGGCCAGACATTGGCATCCTCTTGGCTTAGGCTAAGGATTTGGTTTTCATATGGGGCAGGCCGTGTCCTCTAGGCTCATCCGTGGGGAATCATAGACTCCAAGTCTGCTTTATAGTTGCAGCAAGAATTTCCCCACAACATCCCTTCCATGGGGCTCTCCAGCTTTTAAGAAATTACTTCATGTAAAACGATGTCACGTGGAACCCACATAGAATGCTTTCGTCTGGAAGGCACCAGGCCGTCTTGAAGTAGAGGCCTTGGAAGTGCTGGATGAGGCCCAGTGTATCTCACCACATTACTTTTTAATTTATTTGCTTTTGTTTCCGCACTTGAAGCCGTTCCATAACCCTGTGTTCTTCAGCTTTGGAGACTTCCCACCCCCCACCCCCCACCCCCTGGGTAGGATAGAGGCCTGGGGAGATATGTGGCCAGGTGAAGTTTTCCAGATTTTTTAGCTGATCCCATCTGGTCCCCTACTAAAACCCCAGAGGGGCAGAGGCTCTGGCTGAAAGGGGGGAATGGAAGGGAGAAGATGCGATGGTGAGCGTGACCATGTTCCTGTGGCTTCCAGGGGAATATCGCTGCGCTAGTAACGGGAGCTGGGTGAATGAGGTGCTGGGCACAGAGCTGCCGGTGTGTGTTCCAGGTAAGGAGGCCTCGGGCACGGGTGGAGACCACAGCCACAGGTGTGGCTGAGTTGGGAATCATCTGAAAAGTGGTTGTAACCCCCTTGGGACAAGACTTAGTAGTCTGGGCCTTCAGGAGTGTTAACACTTGGACGTGAGCCTACCAGGCCCTTGAGATGCCCCCTCAAGATGAGTCAGGTCAGCTGAAAGGACATCGAGAAGTCAGCCCGTGACAGCGGTGGGAGCCAGGGCCCATCGGGTCGGGGCGGGCAATGCAGATGGAGTCAGGCGAGACAGGATTGCTGAACACAGGAACTGACAGTTGAGAATGAAGAATCAACACTCAGAAACAAGAGCACTTAAAAAGTCTAGTTATTATATTGAAAGTCTATAAGGCAACACGACGTAGCAGAATAAGAAAAATGAGAGACTGCAGGGAGAGCAGAGTTGAGTGGAAAGCACTGGGACTAAACCCGAATAGTCATGATTCTGGTGGTAACAGCAGTGCTATCAAGAGCTAAACTGTGGCATGTGTCATCCTATTCATGTTCTTGTACCAACCCTGGGAGCCACGTATTATTGGTCCCATTTCACGGATGGATGATTGAGTACAACTTGACAGAATCAGTAAGTAGCAAGGAGAGGCTTTGAACCCAGGTCTGCCTGAGTCCAAGGTCCGTTATTTTCAACTCAGAGTCCAGTCAGGCTGTCTAGTAAAGGACCTGGGTAAGGCAGCCTCCTCTGAAATTCAGTTATACTGGGCCATGGCAAAGCGATCATAACTAGAACGAGATCTCAGGATCAAAGAGAACCCTGCCTTCATTTCCCAGGCTGACCTGTGGGAGGGCTCAGGCGCAGCTGGGACTTCAGGGAAGGTGATAGGGTTTGATCTGAGCATCAGTACAGGGTAGAAAGCTTGGTCTCCTGTGCCATCAGTATAAGGAGTTTTCCCGCACTGGTTTCCTGTTGGGTCCATGGCCTGAGTTGGGGGTCAAGTGGGCTGTGAGTTAATTGTGGATAGTTGTGAGTGTGTGGCTCATTTGGACCCGGTAACTCCACACCTACCTCTGTTTAACCAGTCTCTCCTCTGAGCCTGTTGTAGCATTGGCAAAGTGGATGTTGAGGTAAGGCCAGGATGAGATATGAATGGAGACGGCTGGCCAGATGGGGTTGACTGTTTTGTGCTAGAGAGCTCTGCAACCCAGCATTTATGAGTCCTTGGGTGGTTAGAGGGCTGCAGGAGACCAGCATCGTTTTCTGTCTCACACACCGCGTTCTGGTTCCTTCCTAGTCTGTGGAGTCCCCAGCGAGCCCTTTATAATGAAACAGAGGATATTTGGAGGATCCCCTGCTGATATTGAAAATTTCCCCTGGCAAGTGTACTTTAAGTACCCATGGGCTGGTGGGGCGCTCATCGGTGAATACTGGGTGCTGACCGCCGCCCACGTTGTGGAGGACAACGATGCGCCCACAATGTACGTTGGGTCCACCTCGGTGCAAACCTCCCAGCTGAAAAACGCTCAGATGCTCACTGCTGAACGGGTGATTATTCATCCGGGGTGGGAACCTCGGGACCCATCAAAGGAACGAAAGAATTATGACAATGATATTGCGCTGGTGCAGCTGAAAGACCCGGTGAAAATGGGACCCACTGTGTCCCCCATCTGTCTGCCAGGCACTTCCTCAGAGTACGACCCCTCCGTGGGAGTGCTTGGAATGATTTCAGGCTGGGGCAGAACAGAGAAAAGAGATCGCGCCGTCAAGCTCAAGGGCGCCAAGTTACCCATAACTTCTCTGAGGGCCTGCAGAGAGATGCAAGCGAAAGATCCCAAAGCACGTATAACCGACAACATGATCTGTGCAGGCGGGGACATGGGTATTGACAGTTGTGAAGGAGACAGTGGGGGGGCCTTTGCTGTACAGGACCCCATTATAAAGAGCCCCAAATTCTATGTAGCTGGCCTGGTGTCCTGGGGACCCGTGTGTGGGAAATATGGGTTGTATACAAGAGTACAGAACTATATTGACTGGATAACGAAGACTATGCAGGAGAACAGTATTCCTGGCAGTGACTAGCCATCCACATGCCACCAGCCTTTCCGAGGGCTAGGACAAATACATTGCTTCCAGTCCCTCACACTATTCCCATTTTTTCACCGTGACTGAGAGAAAACATGGAGTGTGACTTACACCCACCTTGATTGTCAAGCTATCTGGCAGGAGGTTAGAGCTTGATCCCAGAGTTGTGTTGGTCTTTGAGTTGTGGTCTGAATCTGTGGAGTCTGCTCCCTCACACACCTGTTACAGGTAACAACACTGGCGGGGCACCCCTAGCTTGCACTGTTTTATAGGAGTACCTTAATTTTTGTTTCTTTCTTACCTGTTTAAAATTCCACCTACCTTACCATTCTCAGAGTTTATCATCCACTTATAATAATGCATATCCTACAGTCAGTTCTGTCTGGCTCACCTTACTCCACATCAAGACCTCAGAGCTGTAGAAGAGGAGTGGGAGGAGAGGGCTGTTGTGTAATGGAATTTGGGCAACTACTAGCTAATGTTTAATCGTTAAACAAAAGGGAGTTCAATTTTTCTCCTGTCTTCTGATTTAGGTTTATTGAATATTGTGAACACTTAGAATTGGTTGTTCAAGATCTTTAAGTTTAAAGTGTTTTCAGTGCATAACCTGAAAATTAATTTTCTTTTAAAATTCATTTGTATAATGCAATACTACGATGTAATAAAAAAGAAAAGCCAAAGAAATTCAGTGTGTTCTCCCTTGCTTTCCTGTGGTTTTGATCAGTTTGTCAGTCAAGTAACCGTATCTGCCTTAGGTTGAACTCTGCACATTGTGACAGCGGAATGTCCCTGTGATGATGGACCCAGAGACTCTTGTATTTTCTAAGGGAAGGGAAATGTTGAAAAACCTCCTCTTCTCCAAAGTATGATTAGTGATTAAAAAAAAAATGACTCCCGAATGGATGCCCCGGATGAAACTCCTGGCTCTTGGCTTTGGCATGACCCAGCCCCGGCCATTGCGATCATCTGGGGAGTGAACCAGCAGATGGAAGATCTCTCTCTCTCTCTTTGTCTCTCCTTCTCTCTCTCTGTAACTCTTTCAAATAAATAAATAAATATTTCAGGGGAAAAAAAAGAAAGAGCAACACAGGGAGAGGGAGAGGGAGAGGGAGAGGGAGAGGGAGAGGGAGAGGGAGAGGGAGAGGGAGAGGGAGAGGGAGAGGGAGAGATACATGCTTCTCTCCCCAAATAGCTGCAATAGCCAGGGATGGGCCAGGGGCCAGGCTGAAGCCAGGAGCCAGGAACTCCATCCAGGTCTTCCACATTGGGTGGCAGGGGCTCAAGTACTTGAGCCATCTTCTGTTACCTTCCCAGGTTCATTAGCAGGAAGCTGGATTGGAAGTAGAGCAGCTGGGACTTGAACCGGGGCTCTAATATGGGGTGCTTCTGAAAGTGGAGTAGCATAAAGCCATGGTGTTATTATTCATTACTGTGTACCTCACTGCCTCCACTTGCTGCCTGTTGTCACAATGGAGCTGCTAATGTGCTCTAGACTCAATTTTTTCGGGTGAGAAGAGGAGGGGTTTCCTTTGGAGATAAAAGACACTGGGGAGATACTATGATTTGGAAACATGATCTGTGACAGACATCTTTTCCTTTTTTATATGCTTGGGGTAACAACAGAACATTAACCTTTTGTATTAGTTGGTTTTTTGGTTACCTTAACTAAAATGTCTGAGAGGACCTACTTAGGAAACCCACAGTCTTTTTTTTTTTTTTTTAAGATTTATTTATTTTATTCAAAAGGCAGAGTTATAGCAAGAGAGGGTGAGACAGGGACTGAGAGAAAGAGAGATCTTCCATCTACTGGTTCACTTCCCGAATGGCTGCATTAGCTGGGGCTAGACCAGGCCAAAGCCAGGAGCCAGGAGTTTCTTCTGAGTCTCCCACATGGGTACAGGGGCCCAAGCACTTGGGCCATCTTCTGCTGCTTTCCCAGCCACTAGCAGGGAGCTGGAACAGAAGTGGAGCAGCTGAGATTCAAACTGGTGCCCATATGGGATGTTGGCACTGCAGGCCGGGGTTTTAACTGGCTGCACCGCAGTGCTGGCCCTGGAAAGCTCACAGTCTTGGAGGTCCACAGGCCAGAATCAGGCGGCCTCATTGTTCTGGCATCTGATGAGACCATAGGATGACAGAGGGATGATCAGGGAGAACTAGCAAACAGAGATAGAAGCTAGGCCAAACTCAGCTTAAATAACGAACCCCCTCATAAGAACTACGTTCCATGGCACACCCCCAATGATCTAAGGTGCTCCCACTAGGCCCACCTGCCAGATACCATAATTGTATCAGGTGTGCACCCTTAATCATTAACAACTAGCATAAGACTTTGGAGACCAAGCCCCTAACACGTAGGCCTTTGGGGGGACACTGAAACTCTTACCCAAACCATAACACCTGGAATCTGAGACGCTCATCCTTTCCAGAGAGATCTTCAGTCTCTGGGTTTGCCCTTGCCCATGGGTCGGGGTACTGATGAAAGAATTCCCTCTTGGCTGCTGCCTTGCGTGGTGTGAAGGCTTTGGTGAACCACACTGACCATCTCCCTGGGCTGAATGGTAGGGAGGGGATGTAAAGGCATAATCACCAGAGACTTTGGCTGGGAAGAGAACAGCCCAGGGCTTAGAAGGGCTCCATAGTCTCTCATGTGGCCCAAAGGCTATTAACTGGACTGCCTTGCACATGGGGATCATGGTTGTCTGCTTCATCTGAAACTCAGAAAAAGACTTGCTTTTTTAAAACGGGTGAATTATCACTTTTCTCTGGTCAAAAGGAAATGGGCTGCTGGACCAGCAACTCACACCAGAGAGGAAAGACAGTGCCCAGTGGTCAGGAGGGTTTGGATGGGAGGGAACCTAGTTGAAATAGAACCAGCCCAGGAGGGGCTAGACAAGGGTCTGGCGTTTGGGGCAGCAGGTTAAGTCATAGCCTGTGTTGCTGGCATCCTCTATGAGTGCCCCGCCGCTCCACTTCTGATCCAGCTCCCTGCTAATGGCCTGGGAGAGCAGAGGATGATGGCCCGAGCGCTTGGGCCTGTGCCATCCATGTGGGAGAGTTGCCAGATGGAGTTCCATGTTCCTGACTTAGGCCTGGCCCAGCCCTGGCCAATGCAGTAACTCTGTCTTTCAAATAACTAACTAAATAAATCTAAAAAAGGGGGGCTAGGTATGATTCTGGGGTGCTCCAAAGTTAATGTTATAGCACTAATTAGAATCAGAAACATTTCCTGTGGAAATGCAACCTCATATTTTCTGCATATATATTCATTTAAACTTTTTTTTATTAAAAAAAATTTATTTGAGAGAAAGAGTGAGCACTCGCATCCACTGGTTCAGTTCTCAGACGCCCACAGCGGCTGGGGCTGGGCCAGGGCTGCAGTCAGAAGCGGGGAACTCCATCCAGATCTCCCGTTTGAGTGGCAGCGACTCAATTACTGCAGTCGTCACTGTTGCTTCCCAAGGTCTGTATTAACAGGAAGCTGGAGTCAGGAGCCAGAGCCAGGTACCAAACCCAGAAACTGCCGCATGGGGATGCCGGTCTCTTAATCACTAAGGCAAACACCCACCCTTGTCCCCCCCACCTTTTTTTTTTTTTAAATTAAAACTGAAAACTTTCTTTAATTTTGATCAACCCCATAAACTGTCATGATTTTTTTTAAATGATGGTTTAACAAAGTCAACAACAAAAACTCATTTGCAAATACAGAGTCTGGAGCTGGCACTGTAGCGCAGTGTGTTAAATCCTTGGCTTGCAGTGTCAGCATCCCATATGGGTGCCAGTTCAAGTTCCGGCTGCTCCACTTCTGATCCAGCTCCCTGCTGATATGCCTGGGAAAGCAGTAAAAGATGGCCCAAGTCCTTGGGCCCCTGCACCTGCGTAGGAGACCTGGAGGAAGCTCCTGGATCCTGGCTTCAGATCAGCTCAGCTCCCACTGTTGCAGCCATCTGGGGAGTGAACCAGCAGGCAGAAGACCTCTCTCTCTCTCTGTTTCTACCTCTCTCGGTAACTCTTTCAAATAAATAAAACAAATCTTTTTAAAAAAATATATATATATTCATAGGAAATAGCCAAGACAGTACAGCGAGGTGCTGTGTACCCCTCCCCAGTTTGCCGGCATGATTGTGACTCATGGAACTACAATACAAAAGCAAAACCAGCAGACTTACGGGTACGATGTGCGTGCATGGTTTTGTGCCAATCCTAGCACATTAGAAAGTCGTGCAACCACCATGGCCACTGAGGATGGGACTGACTGTTCCGTCACCACAGAGATCTCCCTCACACTGACCTCTTCATGGTCAAATCCTTTTCACATTTTTTCTTACAACTTCGGAAAGATATTTTTGAAAGATCCAATTTTTCTAAGTTAAGTCAAGAGGATCAAGATAACAGAATATCAAGTATGATTACCCTTGAGACTGGGGGGGGGGTAGATAAAGTGGCAGCAGGAGCCACAGCGGGGGGGGGGGGGGGGGGACCCTAAGGGGTGGGCGTGAATCCTGTCAACCTTATATCCTTGGGCTTAGCTTCTGTGTTACAAATCTTCACCCTCTTTACAAGGGAAAAAATAAAAATGACAAAGCAGCAACACTATGAGGAGCCGGATCTAATTTTAACCACTGCGTTCTGTCTGACTTCCAGGCTGTTTGCAGTGTGTCTCCTTTTACGTTTAATGGAAGCAAAATGTTTCTTCGGTCTTCCTTGCTTGGGACTGAGTGGGAAATATTTCTGGCCAGGGATGCCAGATTTTTCTACACATGTGCCTATTTGTGGGTGAAATGAAAATGCTTCTTGATCTCTCTTAGACATAATTCAAGAAAAACCTAAGGTTTCGGGGGGGGGCAGGGAAGAGGAGGATGGTTAGATTAAGAATGGACAGAAGTTGGAATAAAAGCAAAAAAGTGAGTACATAGCAGAGGGAAAGCTTGGGCCCAAAGAGAGGGATACTGGGGAGACCCCTGGAGGCTGGGGCCGGCTGGCCTGACTGCAGGTGAAGGAGGAGCCACCAGGAGGAGTTTGGTCTCCCCCCAGGCCCAGCAGAGCCTGGAAACATGCATCAGGGTTGCAAGCATGCATTAGGGTTGAATTCAAGAGACTCAGTAGAGGTGCTCGGACTTTGGTGCAGGACTTTGGAAAAGTTGAATCACCTGGGGTTGGTCCTAGGTGGATTCCTCTGTCCTGGGGCGGCTTCTGCTTGTGACATAATTGACGCATTTTTTTTTTTTCCAGAAACTTCTGAAATTGCCTCAGTTAGGTGGCCGGCAGCCCTCCCAAGCCTGCTTCTCTGGTCCGTGGCTATTCTCCCCCTTTCAGCATTGCGCCCTGTGCTGCGCTTGTCTTCCTGGTTTGTCCTGCAGGGAGGGTGTCTGCAGCCGTTCCTCAGGCTGACCCCTAAGGGACAGGACTTTTGTTCCCTGTTAAGGTCATTGCAGCCACCAGGCAGAAACAGGAGGGATGAGTTGGGTGAAGATGGCTTAAAATTGTCCTGGGACCCTGGAACCCACACCTTCTCTGTCACTCTACCTCAATCCTAGCAGGACTTTTTAAATTTTTTTTTTTTTTTTGACAGGCAGAGTGGACAGAGACAGAGAGAAAGGTCTTCCTTTACTGTTGGTTCACCCTCCAATGGCCGCCGTGGCCGGCGCATTGCACTGATCCGAAGCCAGGAGCCAGGTGCTTTT